GGAGGTGGTTAGGGTTTGGAGTTGGGAGCTCCATGCGAAGATGGAGGAGCTTGAGGGGAGATTTTTGATCATAGAAGAGAGAATGCGCGGGAGAAATGATCACGCATGGTAGCCTTAAATCTTGGCTTGTTGCACTATGATACCCCAAACAGAAACTTTACCTATTTCTTTACTTTGATACCCGAAATTTGTAATACTTTGATACCCCAAAGTTTCAATCGCGTCTCATTTTGATCTCATTACATTCTGATACCCAAAATAAATCCTGTTAAATTTTCTATCAATTTTGTATTAGTCTTTAGCAACTAGATAAAAAGGATCTTAAAGGTATCATATACTAAAGATATCATATAAATTTAATAGAAAATCTAACATAATCTGCATGGGGGTATCACAGTAAAATAGCGTCCAAACTTTGCGGTATTACAGTGTTAGGAAAATACTTTATGGTATGAAAGTGTAGAAAGAGGTAAGCTTTGGGGCGCTGAAGTGAAAGTAAAGCCTTAAATCGTAAGAATTTTGCACTTAAGTCCCTTATAAGTCAATGGAATCGCTACGCAGTCCCCTGACTTCCTGGTCGTTCCGCTGACAAGTGGCTTTACTTATTCCAAGCAGAATAATTTACTGGCACTAAATTTATCCTCCCCCCCTCTCCCCAAGCTTCAGCTCAGAGCACTCGCTGGCCATGGCGATTCCAACGATCAGAGGAGCTTCTCTTGTTCGTGTCCCTCTCCTCCTCAATCACGCTCAGGTTCGAAATTTGGCTAATTTCCTGGAAAAAGTTCAGAATTTTCGATTTCCCCCTTTTTCTAGGGTTTTTTTTGTTCTGACATCTGGTAGGTGTAATTTCTCGAGTGTAGCTTCCTGCTGTGAGAAGGAAGATTCGATTGAAGAAGCTCGGCGGACGCTCAAGTGGAGTTGCTGTGTTCGCTCGCTATTCTCAGGCCTCAGATTTTTCTACTCGTATGCAAGGTAATTTAGTTTATTTCTGTTGGTAATTTTTGAAGAAATCGTGATTAGTTGATTCAATCTGCTTAAAACCTTAAAAAATAGGTTATTGATGGTGATGCTATTATAGATTTCATCAAATTAAAGCTCATCTAGTAAACTTTTCACTTAAGTTCACATTGTCTAAAGCTCTATAGTTTTGTTTAGGAGGAAGCATATCATAAGACTCATATGAAGGCTTGATAGATTTTGATTGGTTGCAGACAGTGTTATCAAGGTGCAAGGCACAATGCGGGGCGCAAAGTCCACTTATTTGCACCTTGCGCAATGCGATGCGCACGCCTCAAAAAAACGAGGCGCATGCCACAAAAAATTGTTTTGATACACATGTGAAATTAAACAAAAAATGTTTATTTGGTTTTTGATATAAAATAGAAATAGGTTCACCTACTAAATCACAAAATAAGGTCCTGATGCATAATCTAGCACTAGTTACAGGAGAATTAATGACAATTTAATGCTACCCTTCTGTATTTCTAGTAATTCATCACAATGAAAAGTTATAAACGAACTTTTTCTATAAAATCATACATCCAAAATAACAAACATTCTAAGAAGCAGAATATGTCTAGGCCTTGATTTTACAATGCTTCAATAAAAAATAAAAACAAGTTATCAAGTTCATATTATTTATAATTGTCAAATATTGCAATATCTAGAAAAATAGTTTGGCTTTTCCAATCACAGTTCCAGTTATAATAGTAACAATGAAAAGAAAAAAGGAGGAAAAGGGATTGGGAGTAGAGCAAGGGAATGAAGAGGAATAAGAGAACGTAGTAGTTATAGCAGCGGAACAATGAGGCGCTCTGAGGCGCATCAACGTGCAAGGCGCAACAACGAGCACTAAGGCACGTGCCTCACTTATGATATGATGCTCCTGGCATCTCATGCGTGGTGCAGTTTCAGCTCCCCAAAGTGCCGGGCGCCTGAGGCAATCCCCTCAAAGCACCCCGAGATAACAGTGGTTGTGGATAGATAACAGTGGCTGTAGATACTACGCCCCGAGATAACAGTGGCTGTAGATACTACGCCCCGAGATAACGGTGGTTATAGATACTACGCGGCTACGCCCCGAGATAACAGTGGTTGTAGATACTAGGTACTTAACACAAAAATGAGCTAAATTTTCCAAAGTCAGAAATAGTTTGCTAGAGTTAGATCTGATATTAGATGTTTACTATGGAATTTTGGTGGATAGCCTCCTTTACAAGCTATTCTGTAACGTCATGTAATTGGAAATCTGTTACCAAGTGAAGGCTGCTTTTTTACTTGCAATGCAATTGTCAGTGTCTCAAATATGTCCGATGACCCATAATTTGCAATTTGCAAGAATAAGAAGCCATAATTGCTTTGTGATTAAATTGATGAAATTCACGTATAATTTGGCTCCAGACAGCATTGGCGACTTACCGAAGCTGGTGGAAGACATTATCCAGACGTCAATAAAGACAGGACCTAGGGGTGCAATAAGACTAGCTCAAGGCGTACAAGCTGTTCTTGGGGTCGGTGGGGAGTGGCTTAGTGACTTGTCAAAGGTATTGGTATGTTGTTACTAATTGTTATAGACAGTTTTTAAGTTTGGGAGTAGTTCAACTTTACTTTCTGACTATTGAACCAAGAATTATTTATATGTTGTAGTTAGTATAATTATGCTCAGCTTCCTATGTCAGGTTCTGTAAAACTTAGTATAGCTTAACACTTTGTTGATGTACTTTGCACGATTGATATGTAAATTATATGGCTCATATAAGTTGGAAAGCTTATCTTTACGAACTAGAACTTAACATATAATGAGGTTCTCTTACCACTTTACCATACTTATTCTGTAACATGGCAGAAAAATTAAAGGACCTAACCTTTCCACTAGCCTAATGAAGAATTATATTAGGCTTTGTGAAGTGTCTATGATTTAGCAACATTTGTAAAATCACTAACTGAATAAATTTAAAAATGCCAAAGTTAAATGATTAGAAAGTTGTATATCTGCTAAATCATGGTTTGACATATAATACCAATTTGATTAATTCATGGGATGAAGTATTTCTTTTATAACCTTATCACAAAAGTCAAGGTCCATTAAGTAGACAATACTACAGAACTCTAGAGTTGTATTAAGGCTTTTTAGTTAATCAATCTTATGATGGAGTTTTTAATAAATGAAAATTTCTATGCTACTATGATTCTTTTAATAAATATTCTGGAATTTGTCTCGCATGTCAGTTAAAGCTGTGATGAAAAGTTCTCTTTTCTCTTTTTTTTCCAGAGAGAAAACAATTCTTCTTTTGCAACATTGCCAACCGAATTGCAGCTTGGATTACTTTCTCCCATTTATCTCCGGAGACTGTTTGAACGTATGGGGGCAACATACATTAAGTTAGGTCAGGTAAAAAAATACAAAATTTCTCACCATATTAATTTATCTTTTGTTAAATTTAATGTGTTATTTTGAGACCAGACACAATCTATATGCTTGATGTATGCACCTGCTATTGATCATCAGTCATGACATGTTATATTCTTTCTTCATGCTTTCTTCTATATGCTAGTGACTAGGTACTATTATTGTGTTCCATCGATACTTCATTAGAGAAGATATTCTCATATGCTCTTGGGTACTTATCTTGATACATGCATGTCTGGTACTATATTATAACCTATGTTACCTGGGTTCTTGTATCAGAGTGTCGCACCCCTAAAAAACGTACCGGTACCCGTACCCGTACCCAAATTTCTTAGACACTCCTTGCATATATGCATACATTTATTCGGGCATCTACTTAATTATGCAATACATGTTTTAATTTTAATGTAAAGCACTTATTATACATGTTTTGAACATGTATCTTATACTTCACATCCACTTCTTGAAACTCGTCGGGCGTAGGTCAGTTTCTAAACTATGATTTTAAAGGGTCGTTAGGATGTCTAGCTCAAAAACTAGCAATTTGCCGATTTATAATTGACATAATAAAAGAAACATAAAAATGTTATAGGGATTTTAATTCTCATAACACGGGAATGAAAACAACATAGATCTAATGTAAATTACTAATTCCAATAAATAATACGTATGTGTATATTAATATTTATATAGCCATAATCTACTTTATACAAATTTGACGTGTCTCGTACTTGTACCCTTGCAACATAGATTATAACCTTTTTTTTGTGGGATACGAGGGAACCTTGGCAAGGCACGAGGATCTCTAGGCCACAGCTGGAGTTCTCCAATGCCTACAAAGTAAACCCTGGTTGTGTGGGACTGTGGGTCCCACCTTCCATTCCCACACTCTAGATTAAGTAGACAGGATGGAACCAGGGACCGGGGGCGTTGACACTTTTACCACCTGGCCTACAGTATAACCCTCTTATCAATGTCTTATCTTTTCTTGCATATTCCAGCAAGCTTTTGTTTGTTTTCCTTTACTGATTTATTTTACTTAAATTGTCATCTAATGCTAAAAGTTGTGTAATTAAAGATTATTTTTCTATATTATTCTTTGGAAAAGTATATTTCCATACTCTGCAGATCATACAGTGCTTTCACATATACATAAAAAACTTCGACAAGCTCTTTTTATAATCAAGAGGACATATATTTCTAACTGCTTATATAGAATGTTTGTTTTTTTTATTTCAACTCACATAATGACACTGATATACATATGTCTACACATACATATATGCCCTATTCTTAAACCATTGTCAGTTCTATGAAGACCTTAGATTTTAAGAAGGAGAAAGTAGTTTATGCTATCTGATAATACAAAGGTGCAGTTCATAGCATCTGCACCGACATTATTCCCTGCAGAATATGTTCAGGAATTTCAGAATTGTTTTGATCGGGCACCAGCTGTTCCTTTTAGTGAAATTGAGGCAATACTACGCGAGGAACTAGGAAGGCCATTGGAAACTGTCTACGATTATATTGATCCCATGCCAATTGCCTCTGCATCAATTGCTCAGGTTTGTGCACAGCCTTCACTACTATGCAGTATTGACTGTTGAGTCATTTGGGGATATAATTCCCTAATTCCATTTCCCTGTATTTTTTCCAGGTTCATAGCGCTAGACTGAAAAGCTCACAACAAGAAGTGGTGATAAAGGTCTTAAAGCCTGGTATAGAAGATGTATTAGTTGCAGATCTGAACTTTGTCTATATTGTTGCACGCCTTTTGGAGTTCCTAAACCCTGAGCTTCGAAGAACATCGTTGGTATGTGATCATATCATCCTCTTTATTGCACTAGTATCCTAGTTCACGCAATAAATTGTTGAGGGAATAAATTATTTATTAGATTTTTTAAGCAAGAGGGTATTTCCGTAGTTTTTCCCCAGTGAAAGGGCAATTCTGTGATTTTCCAAGTATGAGGTCATTTCTGTACTGTTTTCGAAGAGTAAAGACACTTTCGATATTTTGTAAACGTTTAGTTGCAAATGGGGGTACAAAAAAAATATTTATATCCATTAGGATATGGATACAGTTACTAAAATCTCTATCCGATAGGATGTGAGTACGGATACATGTATGTAATAAAATTTATAGATCCTTCTCTAAAATATTTGAATATATGTTGGTCATAGAACTACAATAATTTAACCTTTAGATTAATGGATTTGAGGTTAATATTGATGATCAATAGATCTAACCTTAGCTTTCTAAATAAAATGAACATATTAATGAACTCTTTTGTATCATATGAACTATATTCTTCTCAAATATTATTTGGTTTTCCTAAATTCGTTTTATATCCGCCTCTATGCACACATATATACATACATATATGTGTGTGTATATATAGTAAATCTCCTATAAACTTAAATGGATAGGGGCTTATTGTCCACCAATTTTTTTATCCATTGATTTTGCTTTGAGATTTGTGCTAGTATGTGACACAAATCAATGCACATTTTAAAGATATCATTCTTGTCTAACACGAATCTCAAAGCAAAATCAAAGGCTAAAAAAAGTTAGTGGACAAGAGTTTCTATCTACTTTAGTTTATAGGATCTTCTTTTAAATATATAGTATAGATACTGGGCTCGAATATTTCCTCTGTATCCAAAATTCAAATAGCGAAATAATTAAAATATATGAGTACATACCAATATGAATACATGTAATAAAATTCCAAAATCTTTAAAGATATTGTATCACGTGTGACTTGCCTAAAGTACATCTTATAACTGGCTAATCAAGCAGTATGAAGTTCGATAAATCTCGGAGTTGGAATCTTATGTGATGCGTGTAGCGAATTTGTCGACCATCTTTTCCTTTTCTGTCACTTCGTCTTAAAAATCCGGAACCCATTCTATCATTGTTTCAAACTATATGACCTATTAGATTTTACTTTAGGTGATTCATTGAAACTTTATATGTCTGTGGTGTGGAATAAGATGATCACATATTATTATATCATGACATTCTTTTGGGTCATATGTTACATGGAACTCAAAAGGATTTTTGGCATTGATACCGAGCTCGAATATTTCCTTCATATCTAAAATTCCTTTGGATATTTCCAATATGCATACATGTAGTGATAAAATTCTAAAATCCTTGTAAATATTGTATCACATGTGACTTACCTTAAAGAAAACTTATAAATGAATGTTTGGCCAATGGAAAGCTAGAGAGATCTCGGAGTTGGTATCTTTTCTGATACATATAGCGAACTTGTCGATCACCTTTTCCTTTTTTGTCAGTTCAATCTGGGATACAATTTGTCTTTGCTTCAAACTATATGATCTATCAGATTCCACTTTTTCAGGTTGTTGGCTGAAACTTTATATTTCTGATGATTGGAGATCATTATACCGTGCTATTGTATTGGGTTATATGCTTTTACTCCATGAAATTCAAGGGATTTTTGACTTTAAGACTGTAATGGTTATATAGATTTAACACTTGTATTTTTTGATTCTCTTTATGTTTAGCAAAGGATGACGTTGATTGAGGCTACGTATAAAAGATGAAATCGTGTTTGGTAGAAGATTTTTGGACAAA